GACGGAGCGGGTGTGTGTGTGTTGTGGGCCGGGAGTCGCTCCCTTCGTCCCCGGAGTGTCTTCAGGGCGGGCGCAGTTCGTGGCGTCGTGTCCCACTCGTGGTTGATTTTTAACGGTGCTCCAGGCTCTCTAGTGGGGTGGGAGAGGGGGAAAATACAAGGAGTATCCCATTGCTGTTGGGAGAGAACTTTGGCTGTTCGCTGGGCAGGGCGGCCAGGAGCCTGTGCCGGTGCGCGGGGCTGTGAGTCACGGAGCCAGGTGCGAGGCTCTGCCCTGGCTGCAGAGCTCTGCAGCTGCCGCAGAGGTGAACTGTAACCTTCGCCTCCGGAGGCTGAGATCCTTGTGTTCCTGCTGGCTGCAAAGGGTGCAAATAGTTTTTTCTTTCTCTGCCGCTGGAGAGTTGGAAGCATGGCAAGATATAAAGCAATTTTAATTTCTCTGTTCCACTTCGTGCTCTGCTTCTGCCAGAAAAATGAGGTCCACTGTGATAGCTCCTCTTTGTACCTTTGAAAAGGGTGTCATGAAGAGAGGAAGCATTTTGTAAATTAAATCACTGTGACTACGTAGGTCATTGAGAAAAAGGTGCCTGGTAGTTTTTTCAGTGAGTTGTCAGATTCCAAGGAGGGCATGAATGGGGTCTGACAGTAACAAGCAGGGTGCACTGTGCAAGGTTTGGGTCTTGCAGTTGCTTTGTCAAAATGATTTGTGGATTCTGGTCCTTGTCTCTAAACTGCAAAGGTGTTCAAAGTGAGCAAGAGTAATTGAAATGATTTGCTTTAAACCAAAGACAGAAATCAAGTCCATGAATACAAAACTGATGAGGCAGTAGCATTGCAGAAGTGACTTTGAAAGTATGATAGGTCAGACTAGTAAGTCGACATGATCTGGCATTGCAGGAAAAAAGGGAAAAGTCATGCTCAGGTATAAACAGGAATGTTGGATTTAACATCCAAGGGTTGTCATTGGGTACTACTCAGGGCTTTAGATCTCTCTGGCTTTGATACAACACTTGAAGCTGGGAGGAATGCTGATATATGATGAAACTTGAAAAGACTGAGTTTAGAAAAAGAATAGGTGAGAGGGAGACTTGAGACTTTCTTTTAGACAAGAAAAATACGTCCATGTGTTCTCTCAGGTCCACAGAGGATCAAAAAAGTGACACCCTGTGTGATTTACAGCAAAAGGGAATTGGGCTATAAGTAGTGTGACTTGTGCTTGGCTTCTTGTCTGAGAATTGAAGTATGTAGTTCTCTACTGAAATACTAGCTTTGGTCTGTTTGCTTTTGTTTTGCATGTGGTTTACTTATGAGTCCAAAATGGTAACGTGTAAAGGACAAATGAGAGCCTTGATCTGTTCAGAGTATGCATATTTTAAATGTTTGTTTCACCAGGCTGCACCAATTTCAGTTTCTAGCTAGATGTCAAGAGCAAGGTTAGTGGTAAGGTGAAATTTAGACCTTTTCCAAGGTAACTGTTGAACTGGGTAAAGTAACAGAAGAAAAAAGAGCAGAAAGCCTTTATTTTGGGGTCATGAAAACAAGTTGGTCTCAATAAGCTCTCTGGGTGAACTCTGCATCTTTTCCACCCTCAAACCCTGTGTTGTGCTCCATGTGAAGGAGTTGAGTGGAACACACCAGACCTTGCTATTACAGGTTAGCTCAGCCTGTGAAAGGTATAAAATGCTGCATTACAGGAGTGAAATCAGTCCAGGCTGACCTTGTGGGAATATTCCTATTTTTAAACTTAGATAAGGTAGAGCTTAGTCTATACTGTAAATAAGACACCTTTGTAGTGATACCAAGAGAGTTGCTGCTTTCTGTCAGTAAGTGTTGGATCTTTTCAAGAGAGTTGCTGCTTTCTGTCAGTAAATGCTGGATCTTTCCCACCAGTGTTAATGCAGTTTGTTTGAGGCTTGCTGTAGAAATGTTACTATCCAGGCTTCCTGCAAACACACACAGAATGGATTGGCTAGAGGAAAATCATGGGGCTGTTTGTGCTGTGTGTTTTGATACAGTCTGTTGGTGTAGTGAAAACAGTTAACATTTAATCCAGCTTCTGAAATGTGATCTAGGGAGGAAACAGTGCTACACTCTGCCTGGGTGCTTGTGACCATTAGTTTTCAGAGGACTTTATATTTTTGGTGCATCTATGATTCTAGATACAATTTCTCCCCTACTTTATAAGGTGTTTACATAGCCCTGTTGTTACCTTCAAGTATGTTTCCCACTGTTGGTTCTAGGGTTGGTATTTTTATTGCACAGGGCTGGACTCAGTGATCCTCGAGGTCTCTTCTAACCCAGTTGATTCTGTGGTTAATTCTGTGAAAAGGCTTTATGCCATTAGAGTTGGGTGCTGAGCATTTCCCATGCCTTGGTCAGGTGCAGTGTCCACACACATCTATGCTTGAAGGTTTGTTTCACAGGTGATTCATTTCCTGAGCTGCTGTCTGTGCTATGCATTGTTTCCTCTGAGAACAGTGTGTAATTAGTTACAGGCAGCACAAAGAAGCAAAGCATGTTATGGTTAAGTCTGGGGGTTTAAAATATGAGTGTCTTTCTGACTGTTAAATGTTTCTTGCTTTTTTTCAAGAAAAAGTCTATATTCCATAGGCTTCCAGGGTGTGGTAATAGCATGTAATTCTTCCCCCTGCATCCCATTCCCAGAGTTCTACTGTTGGAGTAAACTTTATTCCCAAGTTTGTATAATGTAAGTTATTAATGAGAACTGTATGTTCACAGATGCAGCAATTTACATGTGACTTCAAATAAATAGGCTAAAATATATGAAGCAATGTCATGTTAGTTATTCTCTCTTAACTCAGGGGAAATACTTACTGGCCACATTGCTGTGAAATGAGCTGAGTGAATTGTCATCTCTTTGGCTGTTGTCTGCTCCATCAGCTCATCGTGCTCAGAGCAGTGACTTTGTGCTCTGTCCTTGCTTCACTCTCCCGTGTGCCACCAAGGGAAGGTGTTGCAGGACTCTGTGCTGTGTGCCCTTTTAGAAACACTGGGAGTTCTCACAGGTGTTCAGGCTTAAGCTGTCACACCTTCACTATGAGCTGTCACACTGTCAGTCTCCGCAGAGGGAATGTTGAACTGTGACCCTCGGATTAGTGGAAGAGGATTTGCAGGTGCTCTTTGACTTGCTCTTTAATATTAGACTGTGATGGCACAGCACGTGACCAGGCAGTGATGACTGTAGGAGACCTCTGTGAATCAACTTTTCCTAGAGTGGTTTCAGTTGAGCAGCTTCTGTTCTGGGTTTGAAAATGAGTATTGATGTATGACAGGGAAAACCTAGCATGAACAGGGAGACAAATCTTTTTACTGAAGGGAAAGACTATGAAAAGCCAATTCTTTTTTTCCCTGTCCTGCCATCTCTTCCCTTTTCCTTCCTCTTTCCTCTGCTGCCTAGGAGTTAACCTTAGTATGATACAGGCTTTGCCTCATTGCTGATCTTGGGGATGAAGGAAGGAGCATGTGGTATATCAAGTTTGTTAAAGCTGTGAACTTCTGGGAGCTGTTTACCTCTGTGCCCTTGTGCAGTACTCAACACAGTGAAAGCATTGTTTCATGATTAAGTAATAGCAAGCTCTGAAGCATCCAGTGTTTTACTGTGAGAGCATCCAGCATTTCACCACATCAGCTCCTCTGGAGTGGCACCTGCTTCCTGCATGGCTTGTGAGGACAGACTGAGGCTTGCAGTGAGTCTTGTGAAGCTCTGACGACTCAGTGGCAGCTCAGCAGTTGAAGAAGGCTCCCCAAACCCAATTTTAAGTAAATACAATCAGAGTTGTTGGGTTTTTTTAATGGAGTTCAAGCTAAACCGTTCTGAAACTGGGTAATACAAATTGACCCGAGTCTGCGAAGTGTCTGCAGACAAGAGAAGGGACCTGAGTTATCTAGTTATATCTGCATGTGCCTCCTTCCACAGTTACTTTCCCCTATCAGCTGCTGCATTCTTACCTGCTGCTTCTGTTTCTCCTTTTCCTTGCTCATCACTCCTTTGGCTTCAGCATATTCCAAAGAAATTCACATAGAAGCACCATGGGACAAGAGTTAGACAGTTTCTGGTCCTATATTAACATCTGCATAAGCTCTCCTAGCTCACCTGGATAGGTAGGGATTTGTTTCCTTTGTCACATAATCTGTTTTAACAGCTGCTTTTCTCTTTGTGTCAATACTAACAGGAAAGTTTGGGATTTTAGAACTGTACAACGATTAGACACGGTGTGTGCACATGTGTGTGTCTGCTTTAAGTTACAGTAACTGAAGACAAACACAATGCCTGGAGAGTGGCAGGACAGCACATAACTTGTAATTGTGTTTCCTTTTAGGTACATGTATCATGTTCTGACTAAGAATACAACAGTGACAGATCACAACCGCAACCTGCTGGTGGAGACCATTCGTTCCATCACAGAGATCCTTATCTGGGGGGATCAGAATGACAGCTCAGTGTTTGAGTAAGTACTGCTGAGCAGTTCTGACTCTGCTTTTGTTTCATAAGATTGCTTGGAGTGGTACAGAGTTCTAGTTCCAAAGGCTGACTCTTCCAAGACTGTTTCATGAGTGTATGTACAAAGCTGTGTCCTGTAATAGATGGGTAAGCAGATCATATTCATGTCATACAAGAATCTGCTGCTTTTTAAGTGTTTGAAGCCCAGAGCCCTTTCGTGCACTGCTTTTCTTTGACACACTATTCTTAAATACAGACTCTGATGTGGTTTAGGGCCCAGATTTACTCCATCCAGCTATTAACAACATATTACTTCAATTTGTTCAATTCAACTTACCAATTACCACAAATAAACAACTTACTCTAGCGGTGATATTTAGAGGTTTTGTTCAGGTGTTATTTTAATCCTCAGAAAATAGGGTGACAAAAATGAACTTCAGATATTCACAGTTGCAAATCTGGCTGTATTAGTGCCCATTGATTTGCTGTGTGCTTTGAAATACTTCTTTCATAAAGGCAGTTTGTGATTGAGATAAGTAATGCTGAGGTGCTTGGTGTGTTTAATGACTTACTTAGGGAGTGGTTGGTTTTATTGGTATGAGCCCCATGGTGTGATTCTTGGGGATGTCCTGTGCAGGGCCTGGAGTTGGACTCCATGATCTTCAAGGATCCAATTCTCATTGTTCTGTGATTATTTCAATATGATTCAGTTATGATGTGGACTAAGAAAATTATTCTCATTATTCCTATCTATACTGAAACTCCATCACATTCCTCACTGGTTTCTCTGCTTGGGAGAATTTTAGGAATGAGGAGTTTTTTTCTCTAGTTACTGTAAAAAAACTTTTCATAGATGTGTATGTGCAATGCCCTGGTAGGAAAGAGTCCACATTGTTCTCTTTAAATTGCATTTCTGGTTTCAAAACACTGCAGGCATTCAGTTCTGTTTGAATTGTACAACAAGCCATGAAATGCTGGCTTCAGGGGTGGAAAAAGTAATTGAAGTGGGTCAAAAATGAGCTCTACAGTGTTGAAGACAAAAGGGTTGTTAGCCTAAGAGGGGCACAAGGACAAAGTGTAACCTGCATTTAGAGGCTCTCCCCTTCAGAATTGGTGATTGTGAGGCAGGGAATCTTCCTGATAAATTGAACATATTAAAAATACAGTTTTAAAAGGCCCTGTTTTCCTAACATTTCTTTTTTGCGTAGTTTGAATTTTAAACCCCTCGTTTAGCATTTAAGGTTTCTGAAAGACTCTTTGTCATACGGATGAAACTTTGCAAAGTAACTCTTCATAAATGCAAAGCATGCTGTTTGTCAGACCTGCCCTGACTCATCCCTGATCCTAGCCAAACTGTGCTCCTGTTACAGCCTGTGGCTTAATCACATCTCTGTCGTTTCAGCTTCTTCCTGGAGAAGAATATGTTTGTTTTCTTCCTGAACATCTTGCGACAGAAGTCTGGGCGCTACGTCTGTGTGCAGCTTCTGCAGACTCTGAACATCCTCTTTGAGAACATCAGTCATGAGACATCTCTGTGTAAGGGAGTGTTTCTGCACTGCTCAGGATTAAGTGATCAAGATTTGACTGAATTCCCTTTCAGTCACTGGAATTTAGTCCTAATACCTCTCTACAGAAGAATTATATGCATTACTAACAATCTTTTTAGTTGAACGCTACCAAAAATACAGTGTAAATTGACTGCAAAATCCCTTTTAATGTAAATTTTCAGCACTGCAGAAGTAGTTGTTTGGTACTACTGAAGCATTTAGCATATTTCAAGGGGCTCTTTAAGTCAGCAAATTAGTTGTGATCTGCAATGTTCACTTGCTGCTGCTGCTGTAGATCATGTGCTGGAGCTCTGTTGGGTAGTTTGTACTAGAACTGTTCTGACATCATTGACACTGGCATTCAGCCATGGGCATAAATTCAAGGTTTTGGGGCAGATACAAAAAAAGATGGAGAATTAATGGTTAGTTTAAAGTACTCGACAACTGTTGGGAATAGAAAGTCATGTTCAAGCCTCAGAGAGTTAGGATTTGGGGAGGAAAAGAGAGTTAAGTCTTTTCAGCTGCAGAGCCTACATAAATTGAGGAAGGTGAGGTATGTTCTCTTTGCAGCAAAGACCTTTATAGGGAACAATTTCTTTGTGTTAGATGTTGCAGCCATCACTTGAATCGTTTGGCTGAAAACTGTGCTCTTCAGGCATCAGGTCATTGGTTGTTGGTGCTTTAAATGCAGCTTGTTACCATGATGTTCTTCCTCTGTTCAACCTGTGCAATGTCTCTTATTTTTCAGACTACCTGCTCTCTAATAACTATGTGAATTCTATTATTGTCCACAAGTTTGACTTTTCTGATGAGGAGATCATGGCATATCGTTTGGCTGAAAACTGTGCTCTTCAGGCATCAGGTCATTGGTTGTTGGTGCTTTAAATGCAGCTTGTTACCATGATGTTCTTCCTCTGTTCAACCTGTGCAATGTCTCTTATTTTTCAGACTACCTGCTCTCTAATAACTATGTGAATTCTATTATTGTCCACAAGTTTGACTTTTCTGATGAGGAGATCATGGCATATTACATATTTGAAGACTCTTTTTCCCTGAAACTCAACAATCACACTGTACATTTCTTTTATAATGAGGTGAGTGAAGGACATTGCAGTATGATGATGAGAGGGTTTAATTAGAACATGGTAGCAGTGTGGCAGATATTCTGCTTAGTCTCTTGTCTCACTGTGTCCTTCTTTTATTATGACAATGGTAATACCAGTGATTGAGAATTCATATCTGGGGGTCTCTGCACAAGCATGGGAGAGGGTTTTGTCCTTACCCAGACTTTTATTATAGTTGTAAGTCAGTGTTATACTGGACTGTTCCAGCAGTTCTGAAGTTTACCCTCCTGAGAAATCCACTTGGTTATGCACTGTTTCCTTGTGCTTCCATAAACAGGATCTTTTCTGTTGCGTCACTTGGTTCCAAGAGGTTTAGTCAAAGTCCAAAAAGGCTGAGTAATCAAAGGGCAAAGTTGAAATGGGTTTTTTCTCCCCACTTTTTGCCAGAAGAGGGCACAAACGCACTATGTGCACAGTTAACCATGATTAAAGCCCTTTATTTTCATGCACAGCTGCAAACCAGCTGACTGTACATTGTAAAATCATTTCCATGACTTAAGCAGAAGGTTAAAAATATCATCTGAAAACATTTTTGCTGCAGAATCCCAACAAATATTCTGTGCATGCTTAAAATGAGTCCTTTGTTTCCTCCTGTTCCAGCACACTAATGACTTCGCTCTGTACACTGAAGCTATTAAATTTTTTAACCACCCCGAGAGCATGGTCAGGATTGCTGTTAGGACTATAACTTTGAATGTCTACAAAGGTATGTTTTTCTATTTAAAAAAGGCATGTCTACAAATCTGGGTTCATTGTAGTTTGTCAGTTATTTACATTTAAGGGCTTTCTGTCAGTTTTATGAGATCAAAAAGCTTAGCGTGTTGAAATGCTTCAGATACACATTTTGACTTTTGTGAAACAGTACCAAACCCACAGTCTGTACTTGTAAATAGTATTATTTCACCACCAATGAAACTGGTTTAAAAAAAACCAAAAATATTGAGCATACACAAGGAACTTTAGCTTCTCTTCCAGCAGAGGTCAGAACGTGACCATATTTAGAAAGCAAACAAACCAAAACCAACCCCTAAACCAAAGTGTTTTAGGAATATAAGGTATTTTGTACTGATGACATTGAGCTTTATAATGTGTGTAGTACTAACCTTGCTGGCTGCACCACTTCCTTTGGATTTGAAGTGCATTAGAATATGTTTGTAGAGCTCCTAGGTGCTGCAGTCACTCCAGTCTAAACGAGAGCTAGATCAGTGAAGGCCACGAGGCTTCCATCACCAAATTCCTGTGCTGGGCATTGCCATGGAGCATAAGGAAAAACCCTAAAACTTCCTTATAAATAGAGAATAGTTAAGCACTGCAACAGGTTTTCCAGAGAAACTGAGGCATCTGTATTGTCTGAGATCTTCAAAACTCAACAAGGCCCTTAGTGACCTGGTTAGCTCTGCAGAGATTCTTGTTCTTTAGTCCATAGGAAATTAAATTGCATGTGGGATTTACACAACTTTCTATCAGAGAAGGAGTGGTTTGATGACAGTTTTCATCATAGAGTATAAGATCTTTTGTAAAACAATGAGCAGTGTGCTCTGCAAGTGACTGGGTAGCCTGCAGAGCAGATGAGTTCTCTGTGGTGTTGGCTGCAAGGGACAAAGCATTTTTCATTCTGTGTTGAGAAATGGGCACTTGGTACTTGGTTTCTGCTTCAAGGTACTGTAAATGAGCTCAGAAAAAGAGCAAATTTTAGGCTTCATATCCTGTTTGTGATATATTGATACAACTAAGCATTTTTATGGAAAAAAATGTACTTGTCTAGAATTTTCTTTGACTCTTGCAGTGATATAAAGGTCAGAGTTGAAAAAACACAGCTCAGATGTTTGATAATTTTCTATCTGTTTGAATATATTCTGCTCTAACACCTACCCTGTATCTTTAGATGCTTTGTGCTTTAGCTTTTTTAACCCTTTTAGAGGATGTCACTATCCCAGTTCCTAATCCTGTTAACTGTTGTCTGTTTCTTTTGCCCTTCCTTCACTGATGATTCCTGTGTTCCTTAATGCAGTGTCATGTAAGTCCAACTAGCTTGACCTTCAGCATTACTGCTTGATTCTTGCATTTTCTTCTCTTCTTTTTGATAAATAATGTTCTAAAAATCCCTTTCTGAATTCCACTAGATTTGTTTATCTTCAGACATATGTAAATGTATCAAAATCAGGCTCATTCAAGCCAGTTAAGAACTGACATGAGGCTTTTGTAGAGTCCATTTCACGCGTGAGATCGTGTCAGGTACATTCTCGTGTGGCAAGCAAGCATGTCATCAAATCTAAGATACTTTGTTGTGTTTCTTAACAAGTAATGACAAGTACTGGCTACTGATTTTTCTTCTGAACAATTTCTCTTCAGTGGACAACCAACCAATGCTGCACTACATACGGGATAAAACTGCTGTTCCTTACTTCTCCAACCTCGTCTGGTTTATTGGCAGCCACGTGATAGAACTGGACAACTGTGTGCAGACTGATGAAGAGTAAGCTCTTACCACTGCTGGGGATTGACTTGGAACTGCTTTTCCTACACGTTGATGCTCTCCTTGTTTAGTTTGTAGTAGTCCAGTTGAAGGTTTTCATTGCTGCGAATTTAAACTGGAAAGCTGAACTTTATGCAGTATGTAAACTGTCAGACCTGACATTGCTGTGTAATATTCCACTATTAGCTACAGAAATATTTTGTCCATTCAGGTTTGCCTTGCCAGCCCAACCTTAGAGTGTGTGGCTGTTTCCTGCTTTCTGAAGGTGAAGAGGTAGATGTTAAGTACAACACAGAGTTCTTTCATTTTTGGAAACAGTCCTTACCATTTGTTGTGGTTGGCTTGTGAAAAGGCTCTGGTGGTGGAAAGCAAAGCCTTGTGAAAATATGTCTTCTGAAAACCTGGGGAAAAACTTGTCATGTGTATCCTAAAGCACATGTAAGCCTGAATACAGTTTGCTAGGTGTGTTAGCTGACTTTGCTGGGACATCTTTAGGCAGCCTGTCTGTGGAGGGGATCTGTGGCTGGGATGCACTTTGATTTGATGGTGTATGATTCTTTATTTTGCTGTCTTTCAGGCACAGAAACAGGGGCAAACTGAGTGACCTGGTAGCAGAACATCTAGATCACTTGCATTACCTTAATGACATCCTTATCATTAACTGTGAATTTCTAAATGATGTGCTGACAGATCACCTGCTCAACAGGCTCTTTCTTCCCCTCTACGTGTATTCCTTAGTAAATCAAGATAAGGTAAGGTAATACCTGCAGGCAATTAATTCTGAAAGGTTTTC